ATAGAATGGAAATGGATCAGTCTACTGCCACAAAGGTGCTACAGATCAGGTCCAGGTGTCTCAGTTATGTACTGGGAAGAAGGCATCCCCTGGGGAAAGGCAAGAGGGGAGTTATCTAGGGTAAAGAGTGGCAGGAATGCTCAGTTCCCCGGCTAAAGGGACAGTATGTGCGGGGTCCTGCAGGAGGTGAGGAGGCCCGTGAGCAGGAAGCCTGGGAAGCAGCCGCCTGGCTGGAGCAGGAGATGAGAGGGAGCCGTGGCTGAGGCAGAGACCCGGTGAGGCAGCATGAGGGTTGGAACGCACACACACGGGTTGGTGGGGTCTCCAGCATGGTGCCCCACCTCTCCCCATGATCAGGTCTCCACCTTGTTTTCACGGGCCAGCGTGACTGGCTGCCCTGTCTCCCTCCTTTCTACTCTCTCTCTCTACAAGTCTTTCTGCCAAGTGTGTTCACAAGGTTGAGGAGGTAGGACCACTCATGTTTCTACCAAGGCTCCCCCTCCCACAATTTGCCTTTCACGTTGAACTCGCTTCCCTCAGGGGAACTCTTCCTTACTGCAAGACCACCTGCGTTCAGAGCAGCCCTCACACGCCACAGTAATACCGCTCTGGGCACCGTGAGACTGATCTGTCCAGGCCCAAATGCTCGGCTTGTCGATCTTCCCTCACATCTGATCTCCCACCTGTGAGCTGCTTCCATTTTCAAAGCCCCAAACTGCCAGGCACAGCTGCCCCATCCATCTAGGGCCTCAGTTGTTCTTTCCTGGGTGGAAATGCAGAACAGCAAGGGCTAATCTATACCACTGCCCACTCCCTCCTCTCACCTGCCACTCACTGCTCAGGGCAGTGTGACCTGTGGGTTGTTCTGAAACTCCTGCTCCCAGGGCCTTTGTATGCTGGAACGCCTGAACAGCCTTCCCCCAGTCAGCTGGCTCTTCTCATCCTTCACGTCAACCTGAGACTTTCCCCAGAGACGCCTGTAAATTCACCACCACACCACACCTGAAATGGCAGCCCCAGATGGCCTCCTCTTTTCAGTTCCCTTTGCGCTGCTGGCCTATGTTTTAAAGACATTTCACTCTTCAGTATTTCCATCAATGGCTGCTATGCATTATTCTGTTTGTCTTGTCTCTTTCCGCCACAAAATGTGGGGCCTCCCTGAGACGGGGACTGTTTAGCGCCTGTTGTCGACCAGCCCCTATTATCCTGTCGGGATACAGTGTTAGTTTTCGCAAAATACCGATGGATTTCTCAAAGGAGGATGATGATAACGAACGCAAAGGGCAACGAGAAACATTTTAAGAACGGTATTCTGTACTGTTAATGAGTGCTTCCTTCCAAAGGGAACCTGCTTACTGAGCTCTACCGTATCCCGGCATTGCAGAATTAATTCATGACATACAAAATTCCATGAGACAGGCATTTTAACTCAAATTTTTTGGTGAGGAAGAAATGGAGGTTCTCTTTCGGATGCAGCGCTCTTGCCCAAGTTTATTTAACTAGTGCACCTTGAATTCAAACGTCCAGTACGATCGAGCCATGGCCTTTTCACCGTTTCAAACTTAAGATTTACTAAATTTCAAATCAGTATTAATTACGAAGCACTCGCTTTAGGCAAGCAGCTCAGAAGCAGTCAATTTCATGCATGCCCCCTGAAGGATTCTTGGTTTAAACGCTTGTCTTGGCAAAAATAAATATGTGAGGGCGCAGGGCGTCCATGTTGCCGCCTGATCCCACTGGGCTCAGGTCATGATCATGTGTTCTGCTCCAAGCCCCACTTAGTTTTGTGCTGACAGCTCAGGAGGCCGGGAGCCTGCTCCGAGCCCTCTGTGTCTCCTCTCTCTTCTGTGCTCCCTTTCCTGCCTGTACACGCACACCAAAATATTTTTTTAAGAAAAATATAGACATGCCCGAGTTAGACGCTATGCTACTTCTCAAACAGAGAGGCCAAGAGTTTCTAGCCTTTTAAGCCTTTGTCATGTTGATGGCCAGGAGAGGCCCCAGGTCAGTCCCACACATTGTCCCAAATTTGCTGACAACCCCTTGCTGAGTGCTTAGGTCAAGCACACTGGACACTGGGTGTGCTGAGCTGGGGTACAGCAGACGAGGGAGCCTCACGCTAATCCCCGCCATCCAGGAGTTCATAACAGGAAGACAGACATTGACAGCCCAGACCTATCTCACCATAGCTCCAACGGAGCTAATTTGGGGTGACAGAAGATGGTCCCCCCCTGTTGAGTGCTAATGAGAGGAATCGGCCACAGGTGCCAAAGGAAAGTCAATCTGCAGAAGACAATGTGTGATAGGCTGACCTTGGGGCAGAGCATCGAATAGGCTCAAGTGAGCGCTCTGGGACACCAACCATGGTAACGGGAGGCCCTGTTCACCGCCTCCTTCCAGAAGGACACAAGAGGTGTGCCACAGCTGGGATAACCACATGGGGGGTGGCAGGTGGGTGGCCTTAGGGCCCTCAGGCACTGGGCTCAGGAATCTGAATTCTGTCTGCATTTAGCACTTCGCTTGCTGGGCTTACTTGCCGCGGTGACCTCAGGTGAGTTCAGCCTCCTCATTGTCTAGCGTCCCCTGCAACTGTGGAAGGGAATGCCACGCTCGATCTGCCCCAGGCTCCTTCAGAAGCCTGGGTGAGTTTCTGCACATGGAACATGATGCTTATGGTAGCTTCAATCCATGGTAGTTTTTTTGTTTCAGAGGCCAACTTAGTAGAGAATTTTCAGTGGAAGAGTATAAACGAAGACTGCAAAACGCCTTTCAACAACCCCAACCATTAGCTCCAGACAACCATTAGTGGGTGGAGCCACCAGCCCAGAAACCACTAGAGCAGAGGCTACATACCTGACCTCTGCTAGCACAAGGTGTCCTACTGCTCAAGAGCACTTACGAAAGGTGCCAGCCATATGTTGAGCCGGCCTCCCGAGTCCTGCTCACTGAGGACGCCACGCCAACCCTGTAACCTAGGCCATCATCATCATCCCCACGCACGGGATGAGGAAACTGAGGCTCCACGGGTCAGGCAACATACCGAAGGGGCCACCGAGAATGCAGATTTGGGCGGGGCGGGGACTTCAAGGAACCATTACATCCATTCAGAAACCAAGTGAGGGTACCAAAGGCAGGGCTTTCCTAAGATGAGCTGTGTGGTCATTCTGGTGACCGTCATTGCCACCAGTGGCACATCGGCTCCACCAGCAGGCTGCACAAAGCTGGGGCTGCTCCCTGGGCAGCCTGCGGGAGTTTCAAATGGATCGCGCCCCACCCCCATTCAATCATTACAAGCCCAACCAGGGGATTAGACAGAATGGGACTAGTCGGTCTATTTGGAATCAGGCCTCCCCACTATATTCACAGTGAAGGGCACCTTAGTGCCCTTCTAATGGAACTATCATCAAAGGAAATTCACAAGCAGAGTTAGGCAGCCTCAGAAAGTCAGCCATCCTCATTTATTACACTCACTACTGAAAAATCTCTGGGGGTGTCCAACATGGTGTGTAATCATAATTACACAGAAGCAGACGGGAGGCTTTCTCCCGTTGTCATAACCGGCACACCAAAGCCTAAACAGAAAGAGCCCCAGTCCAGAGATGCCTGGGCCCAATTCAGCAGAAGGATATTTGGGAATGTATTGACTG